ACGTTTTAGTTATTATCGTCCTCTCTTGTGACATTAAAACAATTTGCTATATTATAACTTGAGTTTTTCTTGTTATTAGGTTTTATTAATGTTCAAAATAAAAGGACACTTATTACTATGAAGATGCCAGTTTTTCCCCAAACAAATGAATAAATTAATCAATGAAAGCTCACTTGAATTTTCATTTCTGACTTGAGAAAATGATTCCAAAGTTCCTATGTCCGAAGGACATAAATGGACAATGTGAGCCAGGCAGTTTTGATAAAGAAAAATAATGAGAGGTGACTTGCAGTGCCAGATGCTGAAGTGTGTTACTGGCATGAGATCAGCTGGCAGATCACCAGCCCAGACTAGAGAGTCCTAAGAAGAAAAAAACCATGTATGTCCCTGTGTCTATCTCCTGGTCCATCCATGAGCCAGCAAAGTCAAATCAATTGCTCAATAGATGGTAATGGGGGTCATCCTAGCAGCTTTATGTTTAGGACCATTTGTTAGCAATTTAAAGAATGGAAGAGATAAAGAGAAACATCAAAATGGAAAGTGCATTGCAGATAAATACTCACTGGTGGCACTCTCAGGCAGGAGCCCTCAGGCCCGCTGTATCCACCACCTTGCAGGGTATGCTGTTCCTGGGGAAGTGACTCTGTGACTCAGGGGACACCTGGTCCGGTGAGCTCTTACCCTGGTGGTACAATCTTGTCTGATCTAGGCAAGAGTGAGGCCCACAGAAGGGGCTATTCGTATCAGGGATGATACCATTGAAAGTGAAGGAGTGAAGGTCAGTGAGCCTCACAGCCCAAACACCAAATACCCCTTTCTCCAAAGAAAAATTATAGGTACTTTATTAATCACATATAGGTCTGTTTTCCTTTCTAGGCAAAGTTCTTTTTATTCCTCTCTTCCAACCCCATAGTAGGTGCTTTTAAGTGGGACAGCCCTAACACTCAGATTCCTTTGTAGAAATATAAATTTATTTTTGGTCTGTTCCAGACCCAGCCACGTACTTCAGATGTTCTAAGTTAATTTTTGTACTTTTGCTGTGTTCTTAGTGCACCATTGTACAGCACACACGAGTGCATGCACTTACCCTGGGTTTGTAAAGATCCCACTTAAGCATTCTTCTTGACCCCTCTATTCCAATTACTAGGTACTTTTTAGAACATCACCTGAGTAGACGCTGCCTTTTTTCATTATGTATGTGTTTCATATTCAAATGTATGGGGTTTTTTTATTTGCAAAATGTGTACTACCTGGTTACCTTTTTTTTTTTTTTTTAAGATTTTTATTTATTCATACAGAACTGGGCTACAGGCCAGAGATG